TACTCAGGAGGCTGAGGGAGGAGAATCACTTGAACCCAGGAGGTGGAGATTGCAGTGAGCCAAGATCGAACCACTGCACTCCAGCCTGAGTGACAGAGTGAGACTCCATTTTGGGGGGGGGAAAAAAAAAAGTAAATCCATGGCTTGGTATCAGTGTCAATCATGTATTAATAAAGCTAAATTCAGTATGAAAATGCACCTACCTAGAAAATCTTGTTTCCCAAAATTCTCTGCAGGTTACTTGAAAAACAGAAAACAGCATAAACTAGAAAACCCTAAAACCATCTTAAAATAACTAAAGACTAACCACTCATTTACATATTTTTATTTGGAAATGTTTATATCAGCACAAGGAAATAATTTTGGAGACACTGGATGTCATTAGTTTATTATAAAAGAGAACTATGGAAATTATTTACATGATGAAAGATTTCAGAACTTCAGTGGAATGGGCAGCTTCACGTTGATGCCATTTCAATAGTGATTTATTTCAGTCTAGGTACTTTCCAAGAATGTCACCATCTCTAAATAGGAAATAATCCTGCAAGTGAATAAACCGTTAGTTAAGACAACTAATCGCAAATATTTGACTTCTTTTTAGAATTGTTAAGTTTACACACCTTGTCATCTAGAACTACTTTGGTGCCTCCATACTCTGGCAGAAGAACTTTATCTCCAACTTTCACGCTAACCGGTTGAATCTCTCCACCCTTCAAAAAGGAAGCATGTTTATTAGCAAACATATCTAGTTCACCCAACATAAACAGTTAACTTTTAAATCACTACAACTAATGAAACACACTCACTCAAATTCAATTATATTAAAAATACACTTGGTGGCTAAGTGATACGATTCATACTAGAATTGCAGATCTTCACTCAAAAATACCACTGTAGTTACACTTTTGAAATAATACACAGTGGCTTAAACTAAAACCTGACTCCAATATAAAAGTTCAAGAAAATATTCTGGAAAAGCTAACTTTAGTTAACTAAAGCTAACTTTGTAACTGTTAAATATTAACGTAACTTATCAACTATATGAAATAAACCTGCAACAGTAGCCAGCACCCAGAAAATGCCATATACAAATGGTCATCTTTTCCTTCAACATACAAAAATGTAATATTGTTTTGTTCCCTCCAAAGTACAGATTTGGGGAAAGGGACTGCAGCTAAGTGTCCACTCCCCAAAGTCTTCCTATTCCTTCCTAACTCCATGACAGCTCCTCAATACAGCTTTCCTCCTCAGAAGCAACTGGAACAATGCAGCTAACATTATTTGGCCCCAACGGCATTTAGGCATTTACTGTGTATTTTGGCTGACATCTTTAGAAGCCTAAGGCCTAAATAGTTAACTGAGGAACATCTAAAACAGAGGTGTCCAATCTTTTGGCTTCCCTGGGCCACAGTGGAAGAATTGTGTTGGGCCACACATAAAGTACACGAACATTAACAGTAGCTAATGAGCTTAAAAAAACTTGCAAAAGAAATGTTTTAAGAAAGTTTAGGGATTTGTGTTAGGTGGCATTCAAAGCCGTCCTGGGCTGCAGGTTGGACAAGACTGACCAACCTGTTCCTCGGATAGGTACACCAACTAAGGCCCCAACTGGTTAAGATTAGGGCAATGTCAATGTGTTAGGGGTTAAACGAATAGTCCAAGATTCCTCTCAATTCTTAAATGCCCCCTCATTTTACCTTGAAGCACATCTTTTGTCTTTATTTATTTATTTATAGATACTAGGTCTCACTATGTTGCCCAGACTGGTTTCGAACTCCTGAGCTCAAATGATCCTCTTGCTTTGGCCTCCCAAAATGCAAGGATTATAGGTGTGAGTCACCATGCATAGCCTCTTTTGTCTTATTAAAAATTTAGAATGTAAGGCAAACACTGATCATACTAGGCTACCAAATTGCTATTGAGGGCTTTTTTCTTTTTGAGACGGAGTCTTGCCCTGTCGCACAGGCTGGAATGCAGTGGCGGGATCTCGGCTCCCTGCAACCTCCGCCTCCAGGGTTCAAATGATTCTCCTGCCTCAGCCTCCCCAGTAGCTGGGATTACAGGCGGATGCCAACACACCCGGCTAATTTTTCTATCTTTAGTAGAGACAGGGTTTCACCATGTTGGTCAGGCTGGTCTTGAACTCCTGACCTTGTGATCCGCCCACTTCGGCCTCCCAAAGTGTTGGGATTACAGGCGTGAGCCACAGCGCCCGGCGTATTGAAGACAATTTTTAATTATCCAAAACTATCACATAAAATAAACATCATAGCATTGGTCATATAAAATAAGCAACTTTATATTAGTCATTTCCCTTTAAGAAACAGATTAGAACCAAAACAGTTAATGATCTTGGACATGACATAAATTCTACCTAATAGGAGACTTTTAATACTCCAGAATTACTCCTTTTCTCTCCACTGCACACTGTAAAAAAAATAGTTCCACCGCAGCCCCCATTTACCTTTCCTTTAGAACCCGATCCAACAGCGACTACTGTTGCTTGCAATACTTTTCCTTGAGATTTTTCTGGAAGCATAATGCCTCCTTTGGTTACAGTTTCAGCAGCACTCCTTTCAACCAATACTCGGTCAAAGAGTGGAAGAAACTTTCTAAACGCTTGTCCTGCCTGTAGGAAGAGAAATGTTTTGAAACAAAAACTAAATGTAATCATATTATCAACAGGCAACGCCACCGTGTTGTATACATCTCAACACGTTTTGGCTTCGAAAGTTAACACCAAACCTCAGCTTATTCGTTAAGGAAACGCATTTGAATGTACTAACCAATATTCCAAGTTTAATTCCCGATTCCTTACATCTGTTAAGGGTCGTTGTCGCTCCTCTGGTGAGCAACCAGACCAGCTTTAAGGTCAACCTTAGTTTATTCCAAGGTCAAATGTTTTCCTTCTTCAGGGTTTTCCAGAAATTTTCAAGAAACGCTGGGTCAATCTCCCTGCCTGGCACCATGCTTTTTACCCAAGATATTACACATCCACAAAAGCCCTGCAGAGCAGGTGGGACGCTGCGCTTGCATCCGGGTTCCCGCCCCCTGCCTTACACACCGCAGCACACGCGCGTGGAAAGAGCCCCCGGAGAAGAAAAGGGTCGGGCAGGCCTTGCCGCTCCAAGGTGCCGGCGGGCGCTGGTCACTGAGTGGCCACCAATCCCTCCCGCCTAACCCAACAAAAGAGGGGCGTCAGTGATCCCCGTACGCCTCAGACAGGCCCGGGTCTGCAGGCTTCGGTGCCACGCGGGACTCACCATGACTCCCTCCGCTTCAGACTCGTACTCTGCTGTAGTGTAGCGCCGCAAGGAGAGACTCGCGGTGCAGCCCTGGCGACACGTGAAAAACCCGCCCA